CGGGGTCAGGCTCGTCATTCTAGAAACGTTCTTCACATATCGACCAACATCATCACAACTCATCAAAATATTGTTCCCTGCTGGTGCCTCAGCAACCGGAGTATATTCCACATGTCTCGCGTCTTTAGGTCACCCGCCCACACACCCCCTTCACATTTCAGTCCCAACAGTATATGCAGCAATAACGACGCACCGGAAACTTCGTCAAGCGGCTTCATCCAAAGCTTTGAATTCAAGCCACCCGTGTGCTCCACCATGGTTCATTGAAAGGAAACTGGAGTCTCCGTCTGGGGCCCGGCTCGTTGGCGAAGCGTGAACTCTAACGCGTCGCTTACACGACCCTATACTGGTCGCACGCGTGCGTTGCGAGTAATCGAGATGGATGATGAAACACTCAGCTCTAGCAGCCCTCTAGTCGGCGGTAACTATCCACCGAACCAAACTCTACACTCTGGCAGCCCAGAGGAGATTGGATCGGCAGGGACGTCGGACCTTCTGCGGTTCTGTTGTGTTGTTCCATGGCTTTTCTGGACGAGTACAGCCGCTCGCGTTGAGCTTAGTCGTGGTTATGGGGTGATTCGATCTGAGGCTTTGAGGGTCCCGCAGATCACAGCGGCCGCGAGTAATCTGCGAAGTTTCTTCCGCAGTAAGGTCCGACTACAGGGCAGAACTCCGGCGTCGAGACGCCGTACAGCGTATGCATGGTGAAGTGGTCAAAGGCGTTGAGCATGTTCGACGCAAAGCCCGAGAATTCGCGCGCAGTCGGGTTTTGCACTTGGCGTACGCAGCACTCTGTCTGAGTGAGACATCTCCGGTCACGTGTATGTGAACATCGCCATCACGAACATGATGCAGGCGCATGAGAACAATGCGGTCTCTCAGTGACATTGTTTCTGAATGCGATAAGTCATGTGAGCTACTCACACCATTTGCCACATCACGAAGCAACGACAGCCTCGTCAGCACAAATCTTACAACCTTCAATGTTTCGCCTTCCGTATCTCAGTAATCACCTGATGGGCATCTTCACACAATACCACGGGCATATAATCTTGGCTCTTAGCCTTACCAGCTCCATCAAGCCCAATACCCGCGCCTGCCCGCCCGTTACTCACATGTTTCGCCATCCACCACGCATTGACAGCCTCATACCCAGCTCACACACAAGGACGACCCTCGCGCGTCAGGAAGCTGGGCGACTATACCATGTCATGTATACATAGCCACGGGATCCTCGTCTGCCGCCTCGCACAGATGGGTCTGCCAAATGCCGTGTCTCCACCGCCTCACCAACTCACTCGCCTGCTTCCTCGTCGCTGCTCCACCTACCCGTGGGCCAACAGCGCAAAACATAAGATGAAACAAGCCTCACCTTTTACAAAATGTTCTCGCAGTGTCGGCAGTGCAGAAACAAGCTGCTACATCTTACAGCCGCAACGCATTTCCGACTGCATCCTATCAGCTGACGACATGGAGTCGGTCCTTGCATCGTGAGACCTGATAGACTGCCTTGCTTTGCGTTGCGTGTTCAGCGGAGAAACAAAACGAATGCGAAGATGCACCGCGTTGTGCTGACGAAGTAGATTGCGCCGCCAACACTCGCGTCGCATGCGCGTTACGCCCGGAAGCTGATCAACACATTGACTCATCACCACTAACTTCCATCTTTCCAGTCCACCATCATTCCAGCCCTGACCTTTATTTTTGTTCGCAGCTCGTTCGTTCGAAAGATCCAGGGAGCGGCACGGGTAGCAAACTACTGCAGGTCATCGATGCGGTTGCGCGGCGCTCGCGGGCGGGGGTTAGGCCTAAGAAAAGGTCCAGTCGCTCTCGCCTCATCCTTTGGGGGCGACACCAGCGCTTGCGTGATGCGCTTTCGGATGACTTGGGCCACTCGATTGCGAAGACGCCATGAATAGAGGCGCGCGTATGTGGGTTGGGGTAAGCAAAGTACACCTAGGTGGGTGAGCGAGTTTCGTGGTCTGGCCGCCTGCCGCCGCCTTGCTGATGCGGATGCGGAGGGAGGCGGTTTGGGCAAGTGGGTGGTCTGGAAGTAGGCGCTGGTGGCAGACGCGTGGGTGCGGCGAGGTGCCTGGCGACCAGTTTAGCAACCACCATCTTCTTGTGGTTCTGAGACGGTGGTCTTAGGGGGTTGTTGATGGTGGGTTGACTCAACCTTGACGGAGGGATGGTTTAGAGCGGAGTGATGTCCGTAGACGCTCGTGGCAGATGTGTGTTTACGGCGTGGCTTTTACTATTTACCGCTGCTGGATGCATGTGTTAGGTGTTGATCACATTGAACAAGCCGAAGGATTCAACCCTAGGATTCAGAACGCCCGATCGTAAGGGGAGTCAGGCATCTACAAGGCAAACCGACGCGTTGACGCTGGTGACAGCCTCGCAGGCGCCGATGTTTCATCGCCGGAAGGTCATGATACGGATCCACGGTATTACTACCTGACTGGGTTAATATCTTGTAAAGATAGAGTCCTCGCCTTGATGAGCCTAGGAATCAAGGGAAACGCAAGTAGAATTGGGTGTTCTATAATATACACACAAGCCCTGACAGCAAGTAGTTGTATATGACGACAAGAACAAATGGAGCACACACCTACATAACATTTTAAATTTTACTAACCAAGGAGCGTACATGGATTCAATGGTCTGCTAAGTTCTATGTGAATACCAATGGAGACTGCAGGGTGGTTGATATTTCCATTGTATGTTGTGCACATACGAAAGAGTTGGCAACATCCAAGCTACAACATGATATCATTCGCACTACTTGATATCCAGGAAAGCTCTTCGCACAAGCACACCCAAAAGACATGATCTGAATGATCGTGCATGCCGAAAGTGAACGAGTATGTGAGCAGCTCATAAGTCAAAGAGTGCGTCCAAGATCCCGAGCACAACATTGTTCACCACCCCCATCACGAACGTTCTGACGGCACACTAAAGCCGGTGAGAAACTCCTCCTCGAACCTGTTGTCCAGACCCCCTATAGTCACATCGGTTTCGGATGCTTCGTCATTGGCCGCGTCCATGTCCTCCGCTGTCTCCTCGGTTCGGGATGCTTCATCTCTTGTCGCGTCTATGTCCTCTGTAGTCTCATCGGATCGGGTTGCTTCATCTCTGGCCGCGTTCATGCCCTCTGTAGTCTCGTGGGTCGCAGTTTCTTCAGCGGCGTCGTCAACGGAGTCCTCTTCATCCGCGCTCTCCCCACGCCTAAGACGATCTTGGTGCTCTTCCCTGACATCCCTCAACCCCTCCTCTCCGAACACCCTACTGCTGGTCCGCCTCAGAAGACCCCTCAGTTTAAGCGTGAGTTTCGGCCGTTGCGTCTCTTCTTCCACGAGGTCATCAACATCCTCTGTCTGGACCGCTGTGGCACTGCTGCGGCTGCTGTTGCCCTCACTTTTGTCTTCATCTACTGGGTCGGGCTTAACTGGAAGGCCGAGGTATGTGTTGACATCGCTCAGTATGCTGCCCCGGTAACGACTTTGCGTGTCTCCGGTATTGTTCATATGGGTTTTGAAGTCAGGATACGTCTCGCATAGCTCTCCCCACGTGGTGCTATCTCCCGGAACGTCGTTCCTGTTGAAACCGCCGCCACGGGGTGAATCCTGTGCGCCGATATAGTGGACATCTCGCTGAGACCAATGAGAGGCTAGGGCGTCGAAAAAGAGTCTTTGGAGTAGTTCCATCCCGGCGGAAGCCTGACTGTGGCGGTCTTGTCTTGGAGGAGGCGGGGAGCCAACAGACGGTCTTCTTGCAACAGGACCGATGATCGCGATACGACGAAGGCTCTCGGCGGTGGTGTTAGCGCAGATGTACGCAATATCACTCGCTCGAAGTAAAGATTGTTTCGCGTCGGATCTTGTGGACCGGGCAAGTGGCTCGACGAGGTTGTACAATTCCCGCATACCGGCTTCCCAGTATACATCCGCTTCGAGCTTAACCCCGAGAAGGCAGGCTTCAGCATGTGCTCGTAGACTCCGGTAACCGGTAACAACTGTGTTCGGACTGTGTATGCTCGAGTTCATATACAGAACGAAATCGGCAAAGGCGTTGGGAGTGATGGTTGGGAGATGGATTTCGGAAATCTTTCTGTCTGCGGCGATGATTCCGTCGAACATGCTTGAATGTCGTATTAGAAGTGCTTTGGGTATTTGCCAGGTTCGTTTATTTGACTCTGATCCGACGATAATCTTCATTGTGCCTGCAACTTCTGGAGCACTTGTGACGGATGGATCACCGGATTGGTATGGACGGGTGGTTTCGGGCTTTAAGTTGAGTGTCTTGTGATCCGATCTGGCGGTGCTTATGTAGCGTCTATTGTACATATTCGTACTTCTAGCGGGAAGTGCCATATTCGCTGGCTCGGCGTGTGCGCTTCTTCGTTGGCCGATCATTGGCGAGGTGGGAGGGGGAGCGGTGTAGTATCTGTGATGTGCCGGGTGATGAACGTTTCTATGATATGTAGGCTTTTCGGGTGCAAGTGACGGTGCGCAAACGGACGCAATATCGCGTGCGCACTCTGGGTGACTGGCGATAGTGAAAGTGACCCCAATATAAGCGTTGCGTTGCTGATAAAAGTGAACGAGTACGGATGTGTGCAGTAAACATGTGATGGTAACGGAATATGATAGACGAACTTGTTGTGATGATGAATGTGTCAGGGAATGATACATCGAGAAGTTGACTTATGGGGACAGCGCTGGTCCTGGCGACATGGGCAACAACGACCACATTCCATGGTACTGCGACCGGGCGAGGGTCACTCGCGATTGCCGTAAGAAGTACAATATCCATTCGAGCGGAGTATGGAGTATGCATCCGGAAATGAAGGAACGAGAGAAATCGCAAGGTTAATATGCTCGCAAGACACGGACAACGACGGCTTAGAGTGGAGTGTTGGAAGTGAGAGCATCGCAAGGTAAGGCATCGTTGTGGCTAAGCCGTATCAGGCAACCACGACCTTGCACATCCATGACTGATCACGCAAGCGCCTTCCCATCTACCTCGACCATCACGACCCTTGATCCCACCTGTTCTCGCTCCAACCCACCCGTATCGCCCCTCCCTGCATAACGCTCACCAGCACGCCATTTCTCACCGAAAGTATAAAATACCCACGGTACGGGCGCGAAAGCAAGAGCGATAAACGCAAGTAACGAGAAAGACCAACCCACATCAAGCTTCTGATACATCTTATGCGAGAAGAGGGGCGCAAGACCGCCGACGAGCGAGCGCATGACTGAGCAGGCGGCCATGCCAGATGCGGAGTGGACTGGGTAGGCGTCTAGGATATATGTGCCTGTGAAGAACTAGATGAGAGTTAGCAGTTATACACCAAGTCTTGAGAGCCAACTCAAGACGATACATGAGTTGAGGAGGATGAACTTACGATAGCGCTCATGGACCCAGCACCAAACACCGCCGTTCCGATCAATGGCGCAATCCAGTGCACACCATACTGAGCCGTCCAAGCATAGATGAACAACCCAATACTCACAAGCGGCCACCAGAAAATCATGGGTAGCAACCTGTTCTCCGGTCTCGCGTCGCCCTTGAGTGCCTTCCGCTTGACGAGGCTGTCACTAATTGCACCGCCTCCAAGCATACCAATGAGGTTACCGACAGCCGTACCGAGATAAGCAAGGCCCAGATTTTTGGGCGCCCATCCGTAAGTCTCGACGAATGTTGTCGGGATGGTCGTGTACAAGATATATAGGGATCCGTATCCAATAGCCGTGAGCAGCGAGGTAAAGAAGATCGGTCGAGACAGGAAAAGCATGCGTAGCGGCATGACCATCGCCGTGCGAAAAGCTACCAACTTGCTCGTCCCAGCGTCCAAATCAGACTTGGCCCTTAAATCCTTATTTCCCGTGTGTTTCCGCAACTGTGCAGCTTTTCGACGGAGTAGAACCGGTTCATACGTCTCCGACAAACATACCATGCTGAGCGCCGTACTCACCCCACCCAAAATAGCAGTAAGATAGAATATCCACCGCCACCCTCTCGCAGCGTTGAGGTAGCTACCCGCTGTAGGACTAATCGCTGGACCGAGATTATACGCCAATCCTATCAAGGCCATGACCCCCCCGCGTTTCTCTTTCACCCAGAGATCACCGATGCTAGATGGCGCGAGGGCGAATACGCTACTACCGCCCACGCCGGCGAGGAAGCGGAAGACAGCCAAGGTGCCTAGAGAGTTGGATCGTCCGCATGCGAAGGTGCTTACCGTGAAAAGCACGTTACATCCGTGGTACAAAGGCAGTCGGCCGTATTGCTCCGAAAGGGGACTTATGAGAAGGGGACCGAACGCGTAGCCTAGGACGTAGATACTCAGGACGAAGGCAGAGAGATAGGCATCGGTTGATGCGAAGTCTCTTATGATGTCTGGCATTGCTGGCGCGACGACGGAGGACGTGAATGGTCTACTTGAAGTTAGCGGGTTGTTATTACAATATGAACGAAGCAGGATACTCACGATACAAAACACATGATGAATATGCAACCGATATTGATGTCCTTCTTCCACGAGAGAAAATTCCTGGGGTTTGCCGCATCGTCGTTGCCGTGCCAGTCGACGACACTCAACTGTCTTTCCTTGCTACGTCTGAGGGTGCTGGGTGTGTCTAGCATGTTGGAGCCCGGGCTTGTGTTGTGGCTGTTGTAAATGCTCGGTAGCTCTTCACTCCTATAAAGCTCCAAAGCTTCTTTTCGTGTGGAACTGTAACTCATGACGTTCGCCGGAGGGCAGGAGTGGATTGGAGTAACGTAGTGGGAGCAAGGAGGGGACGGGAAAGCCGAATTGGTCTGCGTTTGAGTAACGTCGTTCACGTGAGGCGTCTTGACCAGCCCTGTGATGGGGTTACGAGATGTGACGAGCACGTCATTCAGTCAAGATGAGTTCACGTTTGAAGAGTTGCCGCTGCCGCGTGGAGGACGCTAACACCCCAGGGCTTTTCATTTCCGATCTTCGCAGAAGGAGCCATTCGGAGTGTTCCCAATTCACACTGGCAAGTGGAAGGAAAGAGGTGCGGACGGTTGATATAACGAACCGGGAGGACGCGAAAATTGGTGCGATCTCTGCTTTTCTTCTTGCTTCCGACGGCCAGCTACTCACATTAGCGTGAGAACGAAAACGTCTGAAATCGGCCAACAAGTGCTACCTGTCACTCTCAACTTGTACAGGATATTTCTCCAAACTCTCATACCACTGAAGCGTACTCCCGATCATGAAAGCCCAACTACCCCAGAAGGTACTGAGCGACGCCTGATATTGCGCCCAGCTCCTGGTGTCATATCCGAACGCCGGGCACAACGTGAAGCCGATGCCGCCTATTAGGTTCCAGGCCCCAACCCACCATCCCAGCGTTCGAGGAGCAGGTTTCCACCATTTGGACTGAGTCTCGATCATGAAGAGGGCTCCGGAAATGATGAAACCTATACCGCCAACGACTTGTGTAGTCCAGTAGAGGATAATAGTAAGGGTTTGCGACATCTGATCGTATATGCCGGGCAGTGCAGTCAGGCCCGCGATCCAGAAGATTGTTGCGCCGAGCAGCTGGGACATGGACGCTATGAACCCGAGGTTGTGAATGTAGTGGGTCCGTAGTTCTTCGTTTGACGGCCACCAGACCCAGGAGCGCTCTTGCGGCTCCAAAGCGGGTTTTGCTTCGGCGATTTGTCGAGTCCTGACAGCATGCCGTTTGTTGTGGTGGTGCGTGCAATGCGACTTTGACGGCCGCAGCTCTACGCGTACATCCCCCTCCTCTTCATGCGATAGGATCTGCTCCACGGCCCATCCGAAGCACCCCGATCGGCCCTCATTCACAGCTTCTGCTACAAGGAGGAAGGACCCCACCTCGAAGATGCAGACGCCGACAAACGCTGTTATGCCCCCACCATACAATTCCTCGTTTGTGAATTCCGAATCTGGTCGTACCAACGGCAGGAAGACGAAGAAGGCATTGAATAACCATACTACGCTGCCCAACGTGAAGACAAAGGCAACGTCGAAGGAAATATCCCATACGGGGAAGTATGTGAACATACGCCAGATGTTGCGAGCGACGCTACGGAAGGAGGAAGTCGGACGTGGGGTATCGTGCTTCTTCGAGACAGCGGTCTGGCTAGGTTCGATGTCTACGGCATGTCGTCCTTTGCGGTCATTGCGCGAAGTCCACTTGTAGCGAACATCGGGACGGTCGTCGTGGCGGTAATGAGCGCGCGTGGGGTTGAGGAAGGGTATCGGACCGGTGACGCGATTGTCTTCGAGGCGTAGGCCGGTGCCGTGTCTCACGGGTTCGCGTGCTGGGTGGAAGGTTTTGCTGCGTTGCGTGCTGCGCGTGGCTGGGCCATCGCGACTTGTCATGTCAGCTAGCTGTCGTCAACTCGGGTGAGTGTTGCTGTGTCGTTAGCATTGATAAAAGCTATTGGCATGCTCGCGAGATAACTAGCGAGAGAATATTGCGAACCCATGTTTGGACGCGAAGATGCTGTCCGGCTGCGTCATAGCCCCAGATCGTTGGAGTTGTTAGCGTTCCCCAGCCTCGCTGAGTCAGCACCCAGCCTCGTCCCCCGCGCTACTACCTAGGTATGCATGTATGCGGCGTGGTACTCTCAGCACAAAACTCGATCCCTCAAATGCGGCCCACGACTAACTCTATGATCGCAAAGTGCTGCTGAATAGCCATAGAACTGTCGGCAGCCGGTGGAAAAGCTTCCGGTCCACGGGTAGGTGCACAGGTACCTAGGTGGTGTGAGATAGGGCACGCCCGTGATTCCGTGCTGACTGAGGATTGGTATGTTGTGTCTAAGTTGCTCAGTAGCCAGCGATCGTTTCGCCTGCAATTCTTGTCTTACAATCTAGATTCCTTTACTGAACTGCCCATGGCCTATAGAAGTGGATTTATCTAGGCTCCTGCTGACTCGGAAGTCTATAGCAAGCACTGAACAGCCGGCGACCGCGAAGCAAAATTAAGACACCATGTTCACAGGTAAGTCGGTCAGTTTGATCATATTTCAGGACTTTGTTGACACCGGGCCAGACCGATGCCATGTCATCAGTATGGATTCGCATATTCCAACCAAAGCAGACGCACCCGAGTACACGTTTGCTCTGGCGTACCGAAAGCCTGTGCGTATACACCTGGCCAAAATCCAAAGTTGATTCGATCTAACCAGAGGCAGCGGCCTATACCCAAAACCTGGGATAGGATGGCAGGTGACAACGGCGTCGGGTTCCTCGATCTACCGCGAGAGTTGAGAGACATGATCTACAATTACATCTGCACCAATCTGTCGACAAACGGCAACGGCTGGAACGACAAGCACGGCGCTTTGAAGAATTATATCCCGGGCAGTCCCCGATCACGTAATCTTGGTATCATGGAAACATGCCGCCAAGTGCATTGGGAATTCGCCGAAACACTCTACGCGCAGCCCCTTCAACTCTGCCCCGTTTTATACCAATACCGGACGCAGTTCAACGTAGCAGGCTCGCATATCTTGCCCTTGTCGCTAACATATGCACATCTCGTTAAGAAGGTGGCTGTCCTTCACGACACAGGAATTGGAAAATTCCGAGCCCCGTACGACCTATTTGAGACAAAAACTTCAGGCGAGGAGCAATGGCGGCATGTTGTCTCGATTGCAACGCGGTTAGGAAAGCTTTTCCCCAAGATACAGACTGTACGCGTGCTTCATCGCATCTGCCCACGAGATTACGGCGTAGATTACACGTGGCAAACTGTTTGCGGACTACTTGGCGACACCAGAGAGGAGCAAGTCGAGGAGTCTGAAAAGTTCATCAGAGGTGTATGTTGGAGTGATGGGAGAAGCATCAAGATGCCGCCGCAACTGGAGTTGATGCACTTGGACGTTGACACCGTCGTTGAAACGCCTTTGGTTGAAGCGATGAGGAATGTACGAGCAGCCGACATGAACAAGAGAGGACTTAAGCGGAAACGGTCTGCATGAACTAGCATCGCTAGCAAGCGGTCTGTCATATGGTTCGAAATCAATACAGCAGAAGCTGGACAACAAACAAGTTGATAACTCCAATTTGAACTAGTGGTATCAACGCCGAAGGCCTCTTGCACATTCATGGCGCCGCAAGATCATCACCAAACGCCACCGCTGTGCTAATGATACAGAAACCGTGGTAATAATACAAACAAATCCAACACCAGGCCTAGTCTGACCATCATTCCAACATGATCAACATCATACATCACAAACCCCACCCTCACTTCGCCTTATTCTCCTTCCTCCCCTTCTCCCTCTCATCAATCTTCAGCCCCCTAACCAACTGCCGTCCCATCATCCTAGAGATCTCCTTCGCATAATCCGTCATGCGCATGCTATTCCTCTCGTCGTCGCTCTTGCCCTCATACGCTTTCTCGCTGTACGGTGGCGGCGCATCTGTATACCGCGCGTACTCCGCTTCGATACGTTGGAGGTTGGAGTTGGACGACGAGCTCGAGTCGCTGCGGTGGGCGGAGTGGTTCGACGAGTGCGAGTGTGTTGATGGACTGGGGAAGGACGTGTATGAGGAGTTGCGCGCTGCGGAGTCGTCTGTAGTGGAGGCTCCAGAGGGTCTTTGACCAGCAGCGGCGGTTTTGGCGATGGAGGAGGCGGAGTCGTGGCGCGAGGAGAGCATCGAGGAGGGGGTTTCGCGTTCGTTGACGCTGACTTCGGGGTAGTGGTCCATGGCTTCTGTTTTGAGAGTGACTCGATCTCGTAGCAGCGGTAGCAGTAGTAGTGTCAAATCTAGAAAACAAGATCTGAGATGTTTTGTATAACTTGAATGTGGTGTGACTACTAGCGTCCTTTGGTGATGAAAGTGTTATTGGTTGAGCGTGTCCTGCTGCTGCGGTCGATGGCTGGGATATTTAAACAGCTGCCTACTCATACCACGCACATGATGCACATGACACAGACCAATACCAATCCTGTAAGTAATACTACGACGTCATTGCAGCGCCATCGTGCCCAGCCACGCTTTGGCTATCGCAGTCCGGATGAGGAAATGATGTGTGGCTCATCAGAAGACCACGCCTCAAAGACAGGAGTGCGGATAGTGCTCGGTTTCTACGACAAATTGGCGAAGACATTCCACAGCTGGCAAACTCAGTCTTGGACTGTTTAATGACACGCGATGATCTGGGAAGATGATGATGTTGGGGATGAACGTTATCGGGGAGGCGGACACGGAGCAAAGCGAGGCGCAAGCGAAGCGAAGGATGTGTGGCGTTGCGAAATGGATGGGTCCAATGATGTCATTCATCACCATCAGCCGTGCCGTGTCGCACAGCAAAGACCGGAAAGCTGAGCATGCAGATCACAGGACATGATGAAACAATAATTGGCATATACGAAATGATGGGGTATCTTGGGTCCACACAGTGGACAATGCGTGTAACGTGACAGAAGTAGGAGATGGGCGGTAGGACGAAAAGCAGGTACTGAGCCCCAACCAACAAACCTCATGCCCTGACTAGACCCCTGACGGCGTTCTTGAGCTTCCCCAACCCCCGCGAACTCCTCTTGTGGGATTTGTGTCGCTCTAGCTCCATGGCTGTTGGCGCGTTGAAGTTGCCGCTTATTCTTGAGATCTCGTTCTGCGGATTGTGGTGCGCTGGTGATGGCGAATAGTAGTGCTCAGCTGATGAGAACCTCCTCGGACGCCCCGTGTCGTCATCAGAATACGACGATCTTAGATATGCTGAAATGACGGCCTGTTGAGACAGTTGCTCCTCGTCCGATGACCGTGGTGTATGGTGCAGGGTTGCCCGCGGTTGATGCGAGTCTGCACGCTTCCGGGACGAAGGCATGAACGATGCAGAGCGCTGATTTGGGTCTTCAGGTATATCGCTCATGGAGTATCTCGCTAACACAAAGTTAAGGATGGTGTTGGTGAAAAGGGTGTTCATCGCTTACGGTGTTGCCGTTGAGACCTCTCCTGCCGCTCTTGTTTCTTTTGCTTCTCCATGTTCGCTTTCTCGTGCCAAAGAGTCTGCAATGTATGATAATGCGCCGTTTGAGAATCTTGCGCAAACTCTTTCCGTGGGTGATAAAGTGAAGATGCGCAACGCTTGAACGCAATGAAACACAACAAGAACCTCGAAATTAAGGAAACACCCACCTTTTCATACTTATCAACATAGCCATCAAGTAACTTCGCCCAATGCACGTGGTACCATGGTAAAATACCATAATCCCACGTCATCGACTGTACCTCCCAATCAAGTTCATCCCACGAGAAGCTACAGAAGTCAAACCGCGGATCGGAAACAAGACGGGTAACCGGTCAACCTAAGCCTCGAGCGCCCCGCATGCTGCCAACTTGGCGGGCGATGATGTCCAGTTAAGGTTGCCTCGCATGGCATAGTACTTGTAGTGTTGGTGTCATCCGGGAACCCGTATCCGCGGCTGAAGTGAGCGCTGGGTGATGTGAATGGCGGGGTTGGATGCAGGGCAGCCTTAGCCACGTCGCAAGCGATACACGGTGTAGATACGAGGAGATCGGCACAAGGCTGTGAGAGATCGTGAGATGGATGTTCTGGCGAGTGAAGTGCTGCGATGGTGGAGCGATGGATTATCATGACGATATTGGGTCAAGAACGCGACTGGTCGACGGACCTTCATACTCGGGGTATGTAAGGGAGGTGGCGCACGCAGCAGCCAAGACGCAATTCAAGTGCCATCATGATACGCCCGCAAAGAGTGTACGAGCTGTACAGTACTGTAAGACGCACCTCAGGTAGTGCGAAAGTTCTCAAAGGAAAACCGTTCGTGAGGGTGGAACAGGATTGACATTGCAGGTGGGCATCTCGACATTAGACTGTGGGGGTAGGACCGAATAGCATCAGCCGAATTCCCATCGAACATTCACCCTCATCTCTCCAAAGTGCGATCTTCGAAATTCGCCTTCATCTCGCGAGCAAGAAAGAAGCTCTCAAACACGTTCCGTTGTCCTGATGTACAGGGGGCTCATCTGCCCTCGCTTCGCACCCTCGCACAGCCCAAAGTGGCAATAATTCCTTCCAAACACCCCCGTCGCTTCTCCTAACGGTGCACAGCCAACGTCCTCCGCCCTGCCCTTACTCTCTCCCACACAGCAAAGATGAACACACCATTGCGCGCCTGACTTTTCCTTCTCGAACAATGGAACAACTCACAACCTAAACATAGTAACACACGTGCAGCCACCTCACGTTTTTCTTCAAGGCACGCTATGGCGATCTGTTAGGGCCGAGGCGCAGCACAGCAGGCCGGCGGCCGGCCTCGGATGCCTGACCGCAACGCGTCCCACAAGTGGGCCTCCGAGATGATGATGGATGGGCGCTGACGCGGTGTTTTTCGAGCGCTCGACCGTCGGACTCAGCCCATGTGGGTTCTTTTCGATAAATAGGAGGAGGGTTTCACCATGGAATGTGGGTGAGCTGTTGATTTTTTTGGTGGGCTTTGTTATTACTATTATCAAGCTCTATATATCGATTCAGATATTCTTATCACTACACAATATATTTGCGCATATATCAACGGGTTATTACTTCTTCTCGTTCACACACATCACGGATTAATAGGGAAAGAGAAGTCGTCCGTAGCACTTGCAAGTTTTCTCGTACGTACCACCTCCACATCCTGTCATCCCGCAGCGGGACGCCGGCCGAGCAACGAAAAGCCCTCAACAAGCATCATCCCTAACGCGCTTCCAGGGGTCTACGCAACATCTTCCCTGATCCACCTTCAAAAGCCATCTAGAACCTGCCCACATAGCAGTACTCCGGCCAGCCACCCCGACAACCAACCTGTTCTTGGCCCTCTCCAAACCCGTAAACAAAGCGTTACGGAACGAAAGGCATCTACCACCTGCCACCCGCATCCGAGCACACACGAAAATATTCTTAGCCAGGACACGAGCATCAATATTGTTGTTGGTGTAGCTTTCCCTTCTCGTATTCAGCACAGAGTCGGTACACTACTACATACTGCCGTCTATTCTTAAACTTTCGGCCCTACCGCATCGTACCGTACCCGCAACCACTACCACCAAAAGCACGATACGATCGACATACCAGACCCTCGAAGAAAAACCTAAAAATGGATTCGCACGCGCAAACTACGACGATCAATACGCAAACATCGTCTGCATCGTCGTCACGAGACTCGTCGCCTAATACACCCATCACACCTTTGTCGCCTGCGTCATCGGCAGGTAGCGGATACTTCAGCCGTTCGTCGTCCGGACTGGCATCGCCCCAGGTGCCGTACCACATCATTGTTACGTTCGATGGCAAGGTGCGCGAGATGCTGCGGATAGAGAGGCAGAGTGAGGATATGGGTGAGGAGCGGAGGTCCAGGCGGACGACGCCCCGACCGAGGTATTATGCGAGGAACTCAGAGGAATAAACACACGGATATAAATTGTTGATTGGATGCGTTGGCGAAAATTGGCGTTTACGATTTTAATGACTTGAGCATACTGGAAAAGACGGTTCGCGACGTTGCGACTGTCATTGGCGACAAGGAATGGGACACAGAATCTGCGCAAATAGCTGGAATATTGTCAGTAATTGTAAATATAATCGAGAAGAAGGGTCTTTATTGTACCTTGTACTATCTACCGGATCCAACAAGAAGGAACTTCGCCACCTACAACCTCTTCCGCGTCATTCCATCTTCACTTTCTTAGGCGCAATATCGCAGTACACCCTCGGCGAGGACGATACCTCCCTCTTCCCCAGACTCGAAAGCGTCCGCGACGCATTCTCGGAACGCTTCTCAATGCGAATGATGCAGCTCTGTTGGCCCTGGTCTTCATTCACCACCCACATCCTGATCTTATCCTTGTCGACGTCTTCGCGACAGATGATATGTATCTTATCATTCAGCCCATGTGGCTCCACTGCAAGAAGTCGTCCTGACGTAGGACCAAAAGGCGGATCAACTCCGCGTCTACTCCGCGATAACCGGATTCGGAGGTCGCACACCTCATGGGCTAGTAGAGCGAAGCCTTCTTGCTCGAGACGCTCCATCGCGAGTCCCATCAGGTAGAAGAGCAGCGACTCGTCGTAATCGCAGCCTGCTTCGCCTTCCACGGTGATGAAATCTCGCAGGGCGGAACTTTCTGCGAGGTCTGAAGGTGGGACCACGGATTCGCTTCGTGGCCAGGTGATGAGGTGGAAGGGGATTGCGGAGTAAGGGAGGAGCTGGTAGCGCATGCGACATGGGCTGGTCTTGAATGAGGTTTGCTCCATCAATCTCCTTCGGGAGGGCTTTTTCGTCGGTTCCTTCGGTCCGTTCTTGATAGCGAGTACGCGGGCGTGCGGTCGAACTTGGCCATTCTTGATGACAAGTGCGTGGGCGGGAGGCTGAACTTGGCTATTCCAAGCATGCTGGTATTGCTTGGTGATAGAGGGCAAACCCGGATGAGCATGGGCTGTCGACTGTGGTGGAGGTTCCACTGTCTGCTGGAGAGCATCTTGGAGGCGAAGTTGCTCCTTCAGCGCGAAGATGAATTCGCTGTCTACCACCGCGTCGAAGAGCTTGTATAGCTGTGAGGTGTCGCGGAGGTCAAACTCTTCTTGGCCATGTTGCCCGATCAATGTCACTGTTGAGACAGGTTTCTTGGCCTGGTTCACCCTGATGAATGCACGTTGGGTGATGTTCTGCTTGGGGCATCCATTTGGTGTCTGGTATCTCTGA